AGAAATAGCAACGCATGGGGAGTATCATAGGCGAGACAGTATACTCTGTTATGCCCATAGTACTGCTCATGTCTATAGGCAACGGTTACCAATTTCCATCAGGTGGGTCGTCAGCTTGTTTGCCATTTTAAGTTGCAAAAAAATATTACTTGTTCAAGATGTCGGAAGAAGATCAAGTCAACGGAAACATGTATTTGATATTTCCCATCAGTACAAAACTTATAAATTAGCCAAAATACCAATATCATTGTGAGTATTTTTTGTTCAGTCGTCACTAACTGGAATTATTCCAGAAACCGGGATGGCCATTAAAAGGCCGATTTCCAGTTCACCAGTGGATATATAAAAATTAATGTATGCGATAATAATAACTAATTTTCTCGCTCTAATTAACTCAGGGCTAAAGACTAATGACCCTTTTTAAGTAATTTGTTGAAAGTACCTGCGCCTTTATAAGGGGGCGTAATTTTAAATTATCCGCTCATTAACGTTTCTTGCTTAGTTACAAAGGTCTCTCAAACAAGAGTTTTTATACAAACGATGATGTCTTAACAGGGATCTCTAATAGGCATTATTTCTTATTAGTAACGCTTTTAACTGACAGGAGTGAAAGGAAAATCATTTTGGTGGATTATTTAGGATATAAAAAAATGTCTTAACTGTAAGAGTAATTGGATTTTTTTAATGAATGATAATGAAATGGTAACCCCGCTTGTACTATCGGTATACGTTGGCAAGGCACCAGTGAGGGATGATAGGTGAGAATGAAAAGGCAGGTTAGTCCATTGGGATGATACGTCTGGAATTTAGCACGATGGTTTCCAGGGGGGATTATGTATATTGCTAGCAATGGGGCTGGTAGTAGGTAATAACAACCCTTTCCTCATCCAGACTATTTGGATTGATTTGCGTATATTTTGAACTGAACATATAAAGGATTTCTTAATTTAGTTGTATTTCTCTTCATGTTGGTCACCTCATAACTTTGTAAGTTGTAAACTGATTTGGATTTTTTTGTTTTTTTTTTATACAACTTAGAATGGCAAACAAGCTGCCGGCCCACCTGATGGAAAGTGGTAACCGTCGCCTATAGACATGAGCAGTACCATGGACATAACAGAGTATACTGTTTCGCCCATGATACCCCCATGCGTTGCCATTCCTAAGGACTCAGGTGTTATTCCTCTGTACCCAGTAAATTCACACCAATTCCCGCCCTTCAAACCGAAACATAGCCATGCAAACGCAACTGCTTCACGGTTGAAACACGAATGAGACAGAGGTACCCAAGCAATCGACTTTTGTACAAAGTCTCCCTATATGCAAGTATTTACCTATTTACAGATTGATTCTATAGAAATATTATCAAAATCGGTTTAGTAGTTTAGTTTTGAAATCAAAATCTGGTAAAAAATCGAAGCTAATCTTAAATTGTAGTCGAAAATGTTAGTATTAAACATATTGTGTACTTATAAAACTTTTTATGAGTATAATAAAAGACGTTGATGGTATTCTTTATTTGAATTTTAAAGAGCTTCGGGCATACCAGTGTTGCCATAAAAATAATAAATATCAATTAAAAACATAATCTAATTTAGTGTTTAATATAATTAAAAATTTTCTTTCATTTTTTTAAGGTTCACTACTGAAGTTGTACCTACAAAGGAAGATTTATATGTTACCACGTGCAATGAAGCGACTTTGTCTGTCTGTCTGTCTCTCGCATCGTTGTTCTCAGCAACTACTTTTTTATTCGTGAAAATTTTTAGTTTCACTTGTAGAATATTTTCTTAAAAGATTGTGTTTTACAAAAAATAAAACCAACTTTATTAAAATTTCGATTGTGGAAAACCTAGTTACTTTGATTTAAAAACTAAACTACTGAACTGATTTTGATAAAAAATCTAATGGACATAAATCTATGGGACCAATCCTAAATAAGTATATCTTTACTAATAAAAAAAGAATTTTCCAAATCGCTTTATCTCACACGGAGTGCGACATACATAAAAAAATATACCCGAATTGAGAACTCTATATTTTTGAAATCGTTGAAAATATATCTATAATATTAAAAACTTTATTTCGTATACATAAGCATTCTAATCAAAAAATGTCTAAAGTTTTTCGCTAGTAACTTAATTTTTTCCATTCATACCTCCGCTGCGGCACTCAACGGCCAACATATTGTGGGACTCTCCCGACCTTTGCGAGTCAAGAGACTCGTAAGCTGTCTTCACGCTAAAACCCCCACTTTATTTATAATGAAAACGTCAGTGGGGATAATGTTCGAGTTGATTCCCGTAAAAACGAGTTTATCGCCCGCCGCAGCGTCGTTTGTAATTAACTCGAATTAACAATTTGCCGCGCTATTCAGTACATCTGTACACCGTAGTTAATAACTTTATTGTCCAATAATGACAGAGGAGGCAGTGTTTCGAGCGTAAAAAGCTTAATGTCTACATAAAGACAGCGCCGCTTAGGTAACCAACAAACCGCGCAGCGCAATATCCAAGTTTACGGGCGAAACTCAATTAAATCCGACAATTTTGAAGCGAGAACAAAATGAAATTAAAGTTGCGTGACATCGCGTTGCGTCGCATGACATATTACGCGGGCTTGTTTCAATTAGTATGATGTTCGACAACTGTACATACGTGTTTCGAGTGAATTTGATCGCTGCAACTTTGTAGCGCCGAGTTGGATGCGTACGAGCATTTACGAATTTGTGTGTCGAGTTTTGAACGCAGAAATTTGTCGTTTTCGAATCGTTGTAATTAGAATATTTCTGAAGCGTTAAACGTTGTAATTAATGGTCGAGAGATAGGCAACAGCGTGACTCCTACTTGATTATTACTATATATTTTTTATTAACTTTCTAGTGTATATAGCGCCGAGTTGGTTGCGTACGAGCATTTACGAATTTGTGTGTCGAGTTTTGAACGCAGAAATTTGTCGTTTTCGAATCGTTGTAATTAGAATATTTCTGAAGCGTTAAACGTTGTAATTAATGGTCGAGAGATAGGCAACAGCGTGACTCCTACTTGATTATTACTATATATTTTTTATTAACTTTCTAGTGTATATAGCGCCGAGTTGGTTGCGTACGAGCATTTACGAATTTGTGTGTCGAGTTTTGAACGAAGAAATTTGTCGTTTTCGAATCGCTGTAATTAGAATATTTCTGAAGCGTTAAACGTTGTAATTAATGGTCGAGAGATAGGCAACAGCGTGACTCCTACTTGATTATTACTATATATTTTTTATTAACTTTCTAGTGTATGTAGCGCCGAGTTGGTTGCGTACGAGAATTTATGAATTTGTGTGCCGAGTTTTGAACGTAGAAATTTGTCGTTTTCGAATCACTATAATTAGAATATTTCTTAAGCGTTAAAAGTTCTAATTAATGGTTGAGAGATAACGTGCCTCTTGTTATTATTATATTTTTTTTATGAAATAATGTAACAGTTTTCTTTACACAGTGGCAAGTTAATATTTACATTATGTGTTTTAAATTTACAAAATAAATTAACAATAATAACAATTTAAAAAAAATAGAATTTAAAATATAAAACATAAACAGAAATTACAGGTACATTACATTACAATTTTAAAAATGGGAAATGTTAGACTTATTACAATTAAAAATGAATAAATAAAATATGTCATAATTTAATATTGGCATTTAGCTATTCGGGCACGTTGTAAAAAGAATGTTGCTCAAAAAATATCTTTATTTTATTTTTAAATTTATTTCTAAATTTATTTCTTGTCAATTGTGTTATTGTTTTGGGTAATTTAATATACATTTTTAATTTTAGATAAATGCTTTATTTCATAGTTTTTATAAGTCGTGTACTTGGCAATTCCAACTTGTCTTTATATTTCTTGGCGTAATTATGATTGACTGAATTTTTGCGAAACGCAAACATGCTTAAAATATTACCAAAGTCTAATTGCAGTTGCCAACCCGCCTGCCAAGCGTGGCAACTACAAAAAATCCCTTATGGGGATGGCTTATGTTCAGCAGCAGTCCACTGCTAAAATAATGATATTTTATTTTATTTATTTATTCTTTATTGCACAATAAAATTTTGTACAAATGGCGAGCTTAATGCCATATGGCATTCTCTACCAGCTAACCATTGGGTAAAAACAGAAAGCATATGAAGGGCAGATGTGGTGAAAAATATGTGACAATTATAGTAACACATTAAGGCAATACACAAAATCAATATAATATACACATAAGAAATGCACATACTCGTATAATACATAAACATTACTTTTAATATATATGGATAAATTAATACATATGAAATATATACATATATATATATATATATATATATATATATATATATATATATATATATATATATATATATATATATATATATATATATTCGTACACAATAAAATATATAATATTAACAACTTAATATTACGAGTATTACTTAATAAACTAACGTACTGACGAAAGTTACTTTATCGACATGTTTCACGTAAAGAGAATATATAAGGACAATTTTCCCCTGTCGACCGCAACTTAACTACATAAAACATTTACAGGGACATAACCACTATCGTCTGGATAAGTAGTCCGATGTGCCTAAACCGCTGGCAAAAAAGGTGTGCAGTAAATAATTCATTGAGTATCCCCGCATGTATTATCATTCTATATGCTTACTGTACGGTCTGGGCTTAGTAAGTGGCGCTAGTTGAGCGATAAGAGTTAAAGCGATGTATACAGTAGGCGATAGTTATTGCGCAACTGTTATGTTGCTCAACATGTAACTACATGGATCATAGGAATAAAGAAGGGATATATAAATGATGGAAACCCATCAGTGGCGTAGTTCAATTAATTTAAATATATAGTTCCGCAAGTTTGAATACTACTAAAAAAGTTAATTATTTCAATTTATAATATAATATGTGACTGGAGCATGTATTAAATTGAATTAGTCGCGTGCGCACAGTGCTTAAGAGACACTTACCTTTACTCGCTCCGTCGGGTCCACGAAGAATGGAACACTCTTCTATTGTACCGAATGGTGTGAATAACTGGCGAACATCCTCCTCAGTCTGTTGTTTACTGAGCATGCCAACGAACAGCTTCCGATCTGCGGAGAGAGAGACGGCATTAGTTTTATAAGGGCCCCCGAGTTGAACGGTGCAACAAATAGCCACACCACACAAGGCCGTGGTGCGTGGAGCGGCGGACTTGTAAACATCGGTGCCAAATGCCAATTACCCCTACAACTGTGAACGCGACGAATGCCTGCAAATTGACAGGACGCTCGGGGCTACGGCGCACGTACACCACGCCACTTTTCGTGGCGCCGCAGTCGCTTAGAGTACCGCACCACGAGTATAGATAAATCACATAGTGAGACCGGATTTCATTACGATCATATAAACTTTTTTTTTTTTTAATAAATGTATAAAATAAAATTAAGATTTTTATTATTATTTTATAACACTATTTTTTTACTGTATTTTTTTTTATAGATATATATTCTATCACATTTTCGTAATCACATTGGTCTCAGTTATGTGGTTTACTTATAATCAATATCATTAAGTAATGGCTTACATTATGTAAATTAAATTATTGGTAAATTAAATAATTTTTTTCTTTAATAATTTTATGTAAGCCATTTTTAATTAACATAATAATAATTACAATGATATAATGTAATTGCGCATATTATATCAAGTTTGAGATATTTAAAATATTTATATTTCTTTCAGATTGGAATGTGTCGAATTTCATTATTTTACCAAATTAATGGATCGGAATAATTATGTTACAACAACAAATATTACACTTTAAATCAATTCTAAAATGTTTACTTAGTACAATTAAAAATTGTAAGAATAGCGCTTGATAATACAAAAAAACAATATAGTGATTTAAAAATGTATTTTTTTATATTAAAATATATTTGTTCTAAAAAGCAATTGAATTCTAAATTGTACTTTATTCATATAGAATATAATTTATTACAAATTTTTTTATAAAAAAAAAATGTCAACCGTTTGAAAATATTAAATGAAATTCGACAGTAAAAAGTGATAATATGCGCGCATACAGGTAGCGTCATGCGCGCGCGCACTAAGTTGCTACTGTTGTCAATGTTAGGAAAGTAGTGAAAAGGGCGGAATAGTTCTGTACTGTTCGGACGCGGCCAGAGGCTAAAAATAAGATTTTTTTATAGGTAAACAATTATTAATTAAAAAAAACCGTTTAAATAATTAATAAAACGTGAAATTTCTATTAGACATATTTTAATTAAGAATATATCGGTCCTTCTTTATATATATATAATTTATTAATAGAGAGATGTAATATAGATATTTACATTTGATATTTTTGTGAATAAGTGGATATTTTTCTATTGAGAAACATAAGAAACATAGAGCAATTAAAGTTAATTAAATTTAACAACGAATCATTCTTGAAATATACTAGTAGTTATTGGCAGAAGGCGTTCAATCGTTCAATCTTATTGTCAGTCTCTGGCCGGGCGTGAAGTCCTTTGAAAAATTTCTCTCTCAATAATCCCTTTCAATTTAACAGCGTCAAATCTACCGTTACCGCCGGCTCGACACGCGACCACATCTCACCAAGTGACGGTAATAACAACCATAGCTCGCTATAAACACATAACACACACTGTAGTTAGGTAATGAGACAACAAACAAAATTCAAACCCAGTTCAACACATAAAAATTAGCACATTACACTAATGGTGACATATGGAGGATTCCGTAGGAGCTTTCCACATAAACCATATGGGGCCATGATCACACATAAAGGTTCTATTAAGGGGCACAAAACAATCCACTACGGAACCCTCGCGGGTCAAAAGTTCGATTAGTTCAACTGTTACTTGCAAACCGACTTCCAAAAGGAAGCGGTTGCTGAGACTTCTGTTCGAGCGTACACATAATTACCCAATGTAATGGTATCGAATCAACGAGCTTTCAATTTTGGCGTATAGGGGCTCTATACAGAAATCGGAGTGAGTTTTTTTTTTTTTTTTTTAATATAAATTAATGATAGAATAACATAAATTCACACTAATTACGTATTGAAATGAATGGTAACAAAATATATTGTTTACAGCACGACGAAAACTAAGTGCAGAGTGAGTGTTGATTTATTTCGCGGTCGAATCTACGCTGTGTCGAGTTCGCCTTGTCTCTTTTTGAAGAAAATCTTTAAAAGTCCAACGCGACATAGAGTTAGGAATATTTGTAATGGATTAGGCAAGGCTCACTCGGTAGATTCGACGCGGAACGGCCTCACTTCGCGCGCTATTTGACAAACAGTGACAACAGTTCAGCCTAGGGCACGCACAACAAATTTAACGCTACCTGTGCACCGCCTACGCGCGCCGCCTTCCCTCGCCCCCTGCAACACAAAAAGTAGCTACACACGCTAACTCCATCGCACATACGTACAATTAATAACTCAACGGTAAGATTATCTAATAGTAAACATATATTTAAAATTAAATACGGGATAATATCACTATTAGCAACATCAAGTGTGAATTAAACCAATACTACTTGCATGATTTCAATACACGTTAAATAGTTTAAATGTATTTAGCATCAATATAAATCTAATGTAACATACTCTCTGTAATTCTGTAATTTTGTGATAATTAATAAAAAAAAAGATAGTTTAAAAAAGGTTTTTTTTTTATTAATAAATAAAAAATTGGTATACCTTATAAGGTACGCAGTGGAAATATTTATCACTGGAATAAAATGTGGTCAAGAGTGACCCCTGACTACCTCGTTTCTAATGGTATTTCTCATTTATTAATTTAGATTGAAATATTAAATAGTGATTGATAATTGACACACACATTTAGTTTATATTTTTTGTCAAGAATTCTCGCAGTTGGCTTATGGCTTTTGACCACAACAGAATATCAATGTTTTGCTCTTTCAGGGCAACTGTGGCACACTCACGAAAAATTATGTTACCTCTTTTATGTACTTTCCTTTTGTTTTTCTTTTCCTATATGTATTCTTTCCTTTTTTTTAAGTACGAGTATGTACCAATATTTAATGATATTTGTGTGCTGTAAGTGATGCAAATAAATTATCTAATTATATCTATCCATCTATATACACAACGCCATCTAGTTCCAAATTACTGGGTACAGAGGAATAACACCTGAGTCCTCAGGAATGGCAACGCATTGGATAGATGAATGTTTGTTACTCTTTCACGCTAAAACTATTGAACAGATTTAAAAGAAATTTTGCGTATGTATAGATTATGTCTTAAGCAAATGGGATATTTTTTAATATTCTTTACTGCATTAAAACATACAGAAATGATTAAAGGTGGACTTATGAGAGGGAGACTTTGTACAAAAGTCGTTTGCTGGGGTACCTCTGTCCCCATTCGTGTTTCAACCGTGAAGCAGTTGTGTTTGCGTGGCTGTGTTTCAGTTTGAAGGGTGGGATATGGCGTGAATTTACAGGGTACAGAGGAATAACACCTGAGTCCTCAGGAATGGCAACGCATGGGGGGTATCATGGGCGAAACAGTATACTCTGTTATTTCCATGGTACTGCTTATATTTATAGGCGACGTTTACCACTTTCCATCAGGTGGACCGTCAGCTTGTTTGCCATTCTAAGTTATATAAAAAAAAATATCTATCTATCTATCAATAGTTTTTTTTATAATAATCTACATGTATATTATAAATAGAATGCATTCAAATTAATACAAACAGTATTTGTATTTATATTCATAAATATAAATGTTTGTATTGAGCAGGGATTGAACTCGCAGCCATGGGAAGGTGAGGAGGTATGTTAAACTGCTGGATCACCAAGGTCTTCTATGAATTGGTAGCTGTTTGATTTAAAGGGTGAGTTTGTGTTTTACCAGAGGGAGACTTTGTACAAAAGTCGTTTGCTTGGGCACCTTTGTCCCATTCGTGTTTCTACTGTAAAGCATTTGCGTTTGCATGGCTGTGTTTCGGTTTTCAAATCGAAACACAGCCATCTTTCAGGATGGGATATGGCAGTGAATTTACAGGGCACAGAGGTATAACACCTGAGTCCTCAGATGTTATTATTTTGCCATTTTAAGTTGCAAAAAAAAATATTAATTAAATATTAAACATACAGTAACCCAGCAAATAAATAGGTAGGTGCGTTTAAATCATAACCCTCCTTCAACTTTAATACTGTTGAGTAGAAAGAGTTTTAGCATAGAAAACAGAGTGGATCTGTTATTTTATTCATGCGATTGGCCCATCCCTTTTTGTTGTTCAATAAAACAACGCTAAAACTAATGTTGTTATTTTGAATTGAGACTCTTTTTAACCGACTTTAATAATAAGGAGTGTAAAATTTTTGAGTGTAAGTAAGCTTTTTTATTTGTGTATTTTCGATAATTATTTTGAAACGATTTTACAGTGGATCGTAATTGAAATGATAAGGGTTGCCACATAATAAATTAGTTAAAATTTAAATTTATTACTATTATATCAGGCACTGATATCGCTGTCCACTGATCGACATAGGCCTTTCTTATAGGGGTGGGGGGGGGGGGGGGTATAGGCAATGGTTGCCATGTTTGGCAGGCAGGTTGACACTGCTGCCCATCCCTCAACAATAAGTTCTCTTAGTTGCCTTTTACGACACCCACGGGAAAAGAAGGGGCGGCCTATTCTATGCAGACACCTACATGGCTCAGAATTTAAATACCTAGTTTTAAATAATATATTTTTGAATATGTAGTTATTGGATAGATACTTAACAGAAGATATTTTAACGTAATTACTTTCGGTTTAGTTTACGTGTAATCATATCGAAAAATCTCGACTAGTTTCGGAATCAATTCGTGATCCTTAGTCATGAGCGACTGTGTCGCGGACACGAGCCTGACTGCGTGCTTCGACTAAGCTTGAACTGTAGGCTCTTGCGGAAAATATCTTAATAAAATATCTTAATTAAAGGACGTTTTTTATATTGTATTGTATTTTCAAAAATAGTAATTCTTCGAAATCTCTACTGTACTATATATTTTTTTTAATTATAAGTTTTGTTTTATAATTTGAAGGTTGTTTACACCACAAAG